GTTTCATAATTATTAGAGGTGAATGGTGAGTTGGTGCGGTTAATCCGGGCTAATTTAAGTTCTCGTTCTAAACTTTCCTTAGCGGATTTGAGGGTTCAGACTTTAGTGCGTAATTGACTGATTTCAGTGTCTCCTTGTTTTAGTTCACTACTGGCTTGGTCAATGGTGGCATCTAACTCTTGATTTAAGGACTTGATTTGCTCTCGTTGTTTGGCTCATTCGGATAGAGCATTGGTGCGAGCTTCGAGGGAATTATCTAAGAGTTGTTTAATTTCTTTTAAGGCTTGGTGAGCGATTTCTAATTTTGCTCTTAATTCTTCTAATTCTTTTTGTTTTTGGGTTAATTGGTCTTGTAAAAGGTTAGGTGGAGCGACTGGAATAGGAGCAAGATCACTATCACTTTTACTTCTTTTTAAGCGTTTGATATCCGAAGGTTTGCGACCGGGTTTTACCTTTTCTAAGAGCTCTTGTTGTAAGTCGGATTTTTTAGTCATGATTGGTTAATGCCAAGGTAATTGGGTGAAGGAGCAGATGAGACAGAGTAGGGAACCCGGGAAGGGTTTCCGTTTTTGACAAAAGAGACATTTAGTCATTATTTTTATTTTCTAACTTTTCAACCTTTTTTTGGAGTTCATCCAGTTGTTTTTGCTCTTTGCCGTTTTTCTTTTTCAATTCAATGGTTAGTCCTCGCATTTTGATATAGTAATTCCGGACAATGGCTAAACAAATGACATTAGCTACAATGGAAGCTAAAGCAATTTCGCAGCAAGTAATCATAATTTTTTAATTTTCGTTAACTGCTAAAAAGACTCCTAAGGTAATACTACTTCCGGCAAAAACTAATCCGCGGTAAGGACACAGTCAACAGGCTTGATTTACTCGATGACCATGAAAAACCACATAGCCAATTACTCCGATTCCAGTGAGTAAAATTAGGGGTTCCTTTGACATGATTATTTAATCGGTCGTAATAATTTACTTAAACTAACTCCAGTTTGGCGATAGGAGGTGATCAGTTTAGTAATTTCTTGTTCGCGTTGTTTGTTAAGAGCCGGAGCCTTAGTTTTACAGTCTTGACAGCAAGCGGTAATTTTCTTTTTTTTACCAGTTTGCGGGTCAAATCAGTCGTTTTGAGCGGAGGTTAAGAGACAGTTATAGTATTCAACCGCAGCAGGTTTAGTGGTGGTTTTAGTTTTCTTTTTGGTGGCTTTGAGTGCCACCGGTAATTTTTTAGGTTTTATTTTTTCAATGTGAGGCATAAGTTTTTAAGATTCATTATTGGTCAAGTTTTCAAAGTAAGAAGAGTCATAACTGGAGTAGTCACTTAAATCACTAATTAGCGATTTGATGACCATTCGGCAGTATCAAAGAGCAATTTCTT